TGTCTTGATGTGATTAATTAGGGTAAAAATGTTTGGCAGTACTTCAACTGCGCTGATATGCAAATGGTGACCGATAAGCCGCCCACACCCGCGCCCACCGTTGCCATCACATATCCAACCAGCCCTACACCGTGTGATCCCGTACTAAATCCAGGAATAACTTGCGATACAATAAGTACTACAACTGTGTCAACGCCTGTTCCCACTAATGAATCAGTGGCTGTCGTCACCCACAAAGACAAACCAACTTCTGGTGCGCCAAAGACTACGAAAGTACCCAAAAATACAGCCAAAACTAAAGAAGAAGAAAATGAAGAAAGTTTTTTTCAAAAGTATTTGTTGGCAATCATTGTCGTCTCTGTGATTGTTTTGATAGTACTCGCAGTTCTTCTGGTCTACACTTTCTATAATCTCTATGTTAGCGATGATACTAAAGATAAGACAGTAGCCGAAGAACAAGTCATTGGATCCAATGAAGTGATGGAAACACCAGAAGAGAAGTCGGAATCGGATGGGATTTCTCCGATGAGATCGGAATCGGATCCAAATGTGTCCCAAAAAGATCCAAATGTATCACAAAATAATGACTAAATATTATTTTAAAAATTGCTTTCATTTGAGTTTAATTTATTGTTTTAGTTTAATTAATAGTAAATAAAATTGTTATTTTCTAACATATTTTACAAAGTGATAAAATTAATACAATTTGTTATAAATCTATACAGTAGTTGAAAATATTTAATTTATTAATAATTAAAGTACTTTTTAAATAAATTTTGGATATTTTTCTCTCAAACTTTAGTGACTATACTGTTATGTAACATAACTTTCGCTATAAAGTCCAATAGTTTGTAATTGTATTAAACAATTATTTCAAATCACAATCAATTAAGCAAAGGATATTAAAGTTTTTAGTTTTAATCCTTCTTTGAAAACTTTTAATTGTAATTATTAATAAATCAATATTGACATAAAATTGTACTCATAATAAACTTTGTAAACTTTCACACAATGTTCATACTATGAACTTCATAGCTTGTAATCATTTCATAGACATATTGTCTATTTATGTGATACATGTATGTATTAAAGCATTTATTTATGATCCGTTGGATACTCTTAAATACACATAACCAACCTGTCTATGTTTGGACGTAAAACGACTTTCAAAATGGATATGAAATAGTCATACAAATGGTATAACTAATAATGAGTAAACATGACTATTTCATATGCATTTCTGAATGTCGTTTCCGTCCAAACATAGACAGGTTGGTTATGTGTAATGTATACGTTTTTTGTGGGAATTATATTATTCAGATTTTCTCTGTACGGATAGAACACCTAACATTTTTTATTAACACATGATCTTAATTTGAAATTTACCGTATATTTAATGTTTATAATTATTACATAAAGGTATACATCGGATGTCGGGACCAGACGAGAGGTGAGGCGGCCGTCAAAGACATCTTAGCATTGAATCCAAAGGCAAACATTTCTCTACTTTTGCTGGACTTGTCTTCACTCAAATCTGTCCGCAAATGTGTGGAAGAGTTGTCGGGTTTGGAGACAAAAGTCGATATACTTATCAATAACGCGGGCGTCCGTTGCCCTGAGTTGCAGACAGTTGACGGGTTTGAGATGCAAATCGGCACTAATCACTTAGGTAATATAAACACGGTCATTTTAACCATTGCAATTAATACAATAAAAATATAATTTTCAGGTCATTTCTTATTTACACTCCATTTGATACCATTGTTAAAGAAAGCACCGGCGAGTCGTATAGTGACAGTTGCCTCAGCGCTACACAACTTTGGTCAAATAGATTTGCAAAACATAAACCTACGAAACGGTGCATACCATCCGTTTTTCTCATACGCTCAGAGCAAACTCGCAAATGTGTTGTTCAGCCGTGAATTGGCCAAAAGGCTCCGCCACTCAAACATCAACACCTATAGCCTCGACCCGGGAGTTGTGAACACAGACCTGAACCGGCACTTTGATAAGTCTGCGCCCTGGGAGGGGACAGGTGCGAACAATGGACCATGGTTAAAACGTAAATTACTAATAACAACATACATGGGCTGTCAGACCACACTATACTGCGCTCTCGACGATGGATTGGCAAACGAGTCGGGATTTTATTACGAGTAAATGTTCTTGCTATAATTAATGTGTTATTTAACCCTTATGAGCTAAACTTTAGTTTAAATGCGTAAAACTGATGGTTAATTTATTTACCATATTTTATAATGTTTTTAATAGGAATTGTGTTCGCGTGGATCATATGATACCGGAGGCCACTGACGACAAATTGGCAAAGAGTTTGTGGGAATTAAGTTGCGGTTTAGTTAACCTCGAAGAACATCTTACAATTTGATCATGGTGTTCATCATTTAAAATAATCAATGAGTTTGTTAACCTATGTGATGAGCACAGAATTTAAATTCATGTTCACAGAATATATAATTATTTATTAAACAACTTAAACTATTTCCACGCATTCAATAAATTAATTTTACTGATTAACTTACTTAAAAATGTACTTAATATTTTGTATATTATTTAATTAAAAGAGAATAAATTATAAATTAAAAATTATACAACATGATTCAAATAAATTTTTAAAATTTTTAAAGATCATTTACTAGATTTGCTAATTGTAATAATAGAAAAACTTTAATATTATTATTTTAAAATAGGCTTTGAACAAATAATTTAATTACTTGTTAAAAAATACACAAAACATATTAATTAAATTATAATAGCTGCTATTGGGTGCATATACACTAATGTTCAAGGCCAATTTCAAGGGAAACTACCGGTGATCTGGCAAACAGTGTTCATACTGTAGTACACTAAGATTGCACTAACAAAACAATAATAGTATAAATACAGAAATATAAATCGAAACAAACATTTATATAAAACAATTGATGTGTTTAAAAATTTTGTTAATATTAATGATTATAATTGAGTGTTAATTCCAAATTTAAAAATGTGTGAGAAAATGCAAAATGCTAAAACAATGGTAGGAATGGTTGCCTACGAGTTTGGCACTAATGTCATGAATATGAGGCGAAAGTGTAAGAGTGAGCGCCGACTGGACGGTAAGGTTGTGGTCATTACCGGCGCTAACACTGGGATCGGCAAAGAAACTGCACTTCAGCTATCGTTACGCGGGGCTAAGGTTTGTGTGAATATTAAAAATTAAATAAAATGGTTTATTACATAGAAGTTTTATTAATTACTTGTAAAAGTAAATAAAATACTGACTATAATATTACTAATTAATGGTATTATAATTAATTAAATATTTTATTTATTATAAACCAGATAAAAATAAAATGGTTTATTACATAGAAGTTTTATTAATTACTTGTAAAAGTAAATAAAATACTGACTATAATATTACTAATTAATGGTATTATAATTAATTAAATATTTTATTTATTATAAACCAGATATACATCGGGTGTCGGAGTCTAGAAAAGGCTGAGTCGGCCATCGATGACATGAAAGGAGTGAATCCGAGTGCAGACATCACTGCACTTAAGCTCGACTTGTCTTCATTCAAATCCGTTCGTCAGTTCGCCGATAAGCTGAAGGCCAGGGAGTCTGCGGTCGACAAACTTATCAATAACGCCGGTATATATAACTGTCCGGAATGGCAAACCGCCGACGGGTTTGAGATGCAGTTTGGGACCAATCATTTGGGTATAAATAATAATTTATTACAAGCTTTGACACAATAAGCATAAAATATAACGTGTTAGTAATTTTATAAATTAACATTCAGGTCCGTTTTTGTTGACACAAACCCTATTGCCAATGCTAAAGGCGGCACCTGTAGCCCGGATTGTGAATGTAACATCTATGAGATACGCTTTGGGCATGATCCATTTTGACAACATTAACCTCCGCAACGGGGCGTACGACCCAAACGCGGCTTACGATCAAAGCAAACTCGCAGTCCTGTTGTGCACCAGAGAGTTGGCCAAACGTATGGGCGCTGACAGTAGTGTCACGTGTTATGCGGTAAATCCCGGCGCGATTAAGACTGATCTCCAGCGCCACTCAAATTATCCCGAATCGGTTATGAATGCGTTGTTTATGACACCAGAAATGGGAGCACAGACTACACTGTATTGCGCTCTCGAAGAGACACTGGATAATGAATCGGGATTTTATTATGAGTTAGTATTACTCTTTTCCTCTCTCTCTCTCTCTCTCTCTCTCTACAGGGAAATGGCCCGTAGGCTGGGCACAGAGAGTAACGTGAAGTGCTATGCCCTCAATCCCGGTGTAATTAAAACTGATCTCCAAAGGCATCAGAATTACAGCCAAACGATGATGAATATGATGTTTTTGACACCTGAAATGGGAGCACAGACTACATTGTATTGTGCCCTAGATGAGAAACTGGATAATGAATCCGGCTTTTATTATGAGTATGTTTAATCTTGATTCTCTCTCTCTCTCTCTCTCTCTCTCTCTAATAATTTGTTAAATTAATTACAATGAATTTGTTTATAGTAATTGTAAACGAGAACACTGTGTGGTTAAACAGGCGAAAGATGATAAGGTGGCTGAACAACTTTGGGATTTGAGTTGTGGTTTGGTTGAGCTTGGTGATGAGTACAGAATTTGAATAAATTACATTATTTATTTTGCACTACTTTATCATTGAATTTAGTCTATCTCGTAAATATGTAATACATTTTTCTAATACAAATATCTATGCTTAATCACAATTGATTTGACTGCCCTTGATTGTTTTTAAATGTTATATTTTTTGTTTATTTTATAAATTAAAAATAGATTCTTTAATGTTCCATTTTCAAATATTTAACTTTAAAAATTTCATTTTTTTTATTAGAATCTTAAATAATAGAATAGATTTATTTATAGCTTACATTATATTTATATTATTGTAATTTTATTAAATGTAAGCAAATGTATAAATTGACTAAACTTTCAATAAATAAAACATTTCAAAAATTTTACACTCAACCAATTTTCAAAATTTAATCATTTGGATCACGACAAAATATTTATAAAATCAAAAACTTTATTAAACAATATTGATATTAATTTTGTAACAAATATGTTTAATGAAATTATGTATAAATGATTTTGAAGTATAAAACTCTTTACTTATCATCAGGAATTTCCTATTAGTAAATACATTGTTAATCATTAATGTTGTAATATTATAAACAACTTTAATTATTACATAATTAATAAATCTACGTGCTAATCAAATATTGGTAGATATACTAAACCAGACAATACCTTTCATAAATAAATCATTTTTATATGCAATTAAATGCGTTACTACAATTCAAGGATACACATGTACATTATTAATAACAAGTATTAGTATAATATGAGGTTTATTTACTGTTAAAGTGTATATGCACTTTTAGTGCAAAAAATGTAATGCTATTATAAGCACGTTCATGTTAAGTATAAAAGAAATCAAATAATAATATTATTATACAATTGAAAATCGGTATCCATAAAACACAGAATAATTGGTTTCAGTTATATATTGTTTTTATAAAAAGTTTTAAAATATTTTATATCCAATTTACTAAAATAATGGGCGCCTTAAATCACTTGAAATTAATACACTTGTATCGTATATTTTCTGTTATGTTTTATAACTTATCGATAAATTTGTTGGGTCGGCGACGACTGGCAACAAGTAATAAGAAACTTAATGGACAGGTAGTTGTGGTGACCGGCGGTAACACCGGTATCGGTAAAGAGACTGCATATCAGCTCACACTCAGAGAAGCCAAGGTATGTAAACTTAAATACTTTTAAGATTTTCAGTTATTATTATAATATCAAAAATATATCATGCTATAAGTAAATTGTATATACGGATACAGAGAAAATCTGAATCATATAATTCCCACAAAAAACGTATACATTATATACATATTGATTGTGTAAATAACCCTTGGTCTGTACTGTGGTCAATTTGGCCGATAAATGTTAGAAATTTAGGCCATCAAGAAAATGACAAGATTTTTATAAATAATATTCTACTTACTATGAATAACAACAGGTTTAAATAACAATTGATTTAACAAATACACTCAAACAATCTACAATGTTCCGTAGGGGAAACGCCAATAACTTTTGACTGACTAATTCAATTTTAATTATTCCAATTAGAAGAATGTTGCCTGGTAATTCAGTAATCGAACCATATGTAATATGTTATCGTATCTATGATGCTTAATTTTCTAGATAAATTATAAAAAGAAATAATTTCCATTGAAAATGAATGACTTTTTTTGTACAATTATTGACTGTTTCTAACTATACTTTTTTCAATTATCTAGAACCTAGATTTAATTTTTAAAATTTAACTAATTGAAGTTTTAGTCATACATTTGATAGATACTTTAGCTATTTCACAATTCATTTTAAACTACCTGTATTTTGTGGATCAGGGGATTTTTATAACTCAATAACTACTAGGTCAATTTTAAAATTCTATATGTCAAAATGTTTAAAATTCTATATGTCAAATGAGGGGACACGTATTTCAGGATTTTTCTAAAAAAATATCTCAATTAAAGAACAGGTGTTTAAAGTGCAAAAAATTCTACATTTCATTTGCTTGCCAATTATAATTCATCTGGTTATTTTTAACGTTCTCTAGCTTAAATTGACAAGAATTATTAATAGAAATAAGCAATTTCTTAGATTCTCAATATTTTATAGTTTTGATGAATTTTTCATTAAAACAAAATTTGTATAATTTGTAATGTTGCTTATAATGAAATGTCATTGACATTAGCCTCTATTTGTACACATTTTCAATGGGTTTCAATGCAAATTATTGCTTTTCTTATAATTCACCTAGAAACTTAACTATGATAGCTACATAAGCATGTTATACAGTGCAACTTCTCTTGGATGAACACCTCCTTTGAATAAACGGTTTTAAAATATATAATTGGATTTTCTATACCTATAACAGAACCTCCCTTGGATGAACCCTCCCTATAATAAACACTTTTGTCGTGCAACTGGCATTTGTACACATTTTCAATGGTTCTCAATGCAAATTATTGCGTTTCTTATAATTCACCTAGAAACCTAACTATGATAGCTACATAGGCATGTTATACAGTGCAACTTCTCTTGGGTGAACTTCTCTTGGATGAACATTTCCTTTGAATGAACGGTTTTAAAATATATTTTGGATTTTCTATACCTATAACAGAACCTCCCTTGGATAAACCCTCCCTATAATAAACACTTTTGTCGATTACTGAATTACCAGGCAACATTTTTCTAATTGGAATCATTAAAGTCAAATTACTCAGTCAAAAGTTATTGGCGTTTCTCCTACGGAACATTATAGATTGTTTGAGTGTATTTGTTAAATTAATTGTTATTCAAACCTGTTGTTATTTATAGTAGGTAGAATATTATTTATAAAAATCTTGCCATTTTCTTGATGGCCCAAATTTCTAACATTTATCGGCCAAATTGACCACAGTACAGACCGAGGGTTACTTACACAATCAATATGTATATAATGTATACGTTTTATGTGGGAATTATATTTTTAAGATTTTCTCTGATTAGAAAAACAGAACCTCCCTTGGATAAACCCTCCCTATAATAAACACTTTTGTCGATTACTGAATTACCAGGCAACATTTTTCTAATTGGAATTATTAAAGTCAAATTACTCAGTCAAAAGTTATTAGCGTTTCCCCTACGGAACATTGTAGATTGTTTGAGTGTATTTGTTAAATTAATTGTTATTTAAACTTGTTGTTATTTATAGTAGGTAGAATATTATTTATAAAAATTTTGCCATTTTCTTGATGGCCTAAATTTCTAACATTTATCGGCCAAATTGACCACAGTACAGACCGAGGGTTACTTACACAATCAATATGTATATAATGTATACGTTTTATGTGGGAATTATATTTTTAAGATTTTCTCTGGTAAATACAGTATATGATATTTAATTAATTATTTAAGTAGTAAAATAATTAATACACTTATTTTTAAATGTACTAATACTTATTTTATTTCAATATGGCTAAATAATTTAAACTTTTATTAATGTAAATCAATTATTTTTTTAATGGTTATAAAAAAATCTCGTCAACAGATTTGGTTTGTTTTCCCAAAAAATATTTATACGGCGAGGATTTGGCCAATGAATTGATTGCAATGCATAAAAACAATAGATATGCAAAACTGGTCTTTTATATGGAGGCGTGTCATTCGGGTAATATTAAACCAATCATATTTATATTTTAATTGTAATTAAATTATTCACTATTTAACTTGACCAGGCTCGATGTTTGAGAAATTACTACCAAAGGACATCAACATCTATGTGACCGCCAGTTCCGGGCCTAAGGAGTCTAGTTATCTGTGTTGGTATGACTCGGAAATGGGCACTGAATTATGTAAGACATAGTATACTATTAGCATAATACTGATAATTAATAAATAAACACATACTATAACACCCTAGTGTAATAATCAATATAATTAACATATGCCTAATTCCTAAACACAGCTGACCCGTACACCGCCGCCTGGCTGTACGATAGCGAACACAAAGATTTGACCCATGAGTCACTTCAGGAACAGTACCTTTACATTGAAATGGTTATCAACAAATCGGGTGACCATGAGTACCAACACTCCCACCAATACGGAGACCTATCCATCGCTAAACTCCCGGTGTCTCAGTTCTTGGGCGCCAAAAACCCGCCCAAACCGCTGGACACGCCGGCCATAGAGTATGCCGACAATTGCGATGCCATCCCCTCTCAGGATGTGTTCATTTATATGAAACAAAAACAGATTTTGTCCGCGAAGGATATCAATGAGAAACAACGGTATTATTTTATTGCAAAATAGAAATGCAATTTATATATAATTTTTATTTTTGTAAATTAATTATGCATTTGTTTTATATAGATATTTGTCTGAATTGAGTGATGCGTTGAAAGGCAGACAATATGTGGACAATGTTTTGCTTGAATTTGTTGATAGTATTAAGCATTTGATAAAAATAGACACAAATTCTGTGTTAAACGCGAAACAAGAGCTCAATAACAGAGAGTGTTATCGAAAATTTGTCGACAATTTCAACGATAATTGTTTTAATATAAATCAGGTATTAATTCATTGTTTGTGAAATAATTAATATTTTATTTTATTAATAATATGTTATAAATCCATAGCATTTGTATGCGTTTCACAAATTGGGAGTATTTGTAAACATATGTGAATCGTTGGCACAAACGAGTGATGCGGACATCGCTGTCAACCAATTGATTGCAAACTGTAATAAACTTGAAAAACACGAGTTTCTAAGCATTCAATAAATTTACAATAATTTTGTATTTAAATATGCACTTAAAATGTCAATTATTTATAGCATTTCTTGATTTTTGATATATCAAACTTTCTATTAAGTTTATTAAATAAATAGTTGAACTAAAAAATTAATCAAAATATATTTGATATCATTATTTTTTACCATAATGAAACAAAAAATACAATTAATCTTTTTTATTGGTTAATAATATTAAATATAAAGAATACAAAATTTTACTTTATTTTATTTTCATTATCTTATAAAATTTATAGCAGAAGTATATTATTATTTTTATTAAATTAAAATGTTATAATCAAGTATAAAACAAGGATCAAACAACTAGATTTACTAGAATCACAACTTTGGTGATGCTCAACCATAAACTCAACTTAGTCAAAGACGTAACATTGCCATATATTTAGCATTGGCCGTGTTTAACTTTGGCATGTTATTATTCAATACTTAATAAATGTAATCTTATAGAAACCTATAAAACGCCTTTTCCCATAGTCAAAGTGTTCCCCATGTTACATTAATTAATTACGACTATTTATAAAACTGTAATATAAATAAACATTATTGATATATTTAGATCAATAATAATTTAAAATTGGTAAATGGAACCCAAGCTGCTTGGTATTAATTAGGGGGTGTAATTTTTCATTTTATTGTTTTATTTATACAAAAAATATTTTACTTATCATAAAAGTTTTTATCAAAATATTCAAGTGTTACCTTTAACTTGCAATTATTTTATCATGAACAAGCAATCAAACTTATGTACTGCAATAACATTACAATACAAGTACACGTGTAAAGTCTTTATAACATCAGGTTTCATTAAAATTTATCTCGCATAGTATCCATAAAAGTAATTCTAGTGAAATAAGTTTTGCGCACTTTACAATAAATGTTGTTCTAAAGTGTACAATGTATAAACTGTGCTTGAGTGACTTTTAAAATTTAATCTAGTTCATTTATAAAATTATTGTATAAATACAAAAACACATTTCCATCAAACAATATTACTTATAATAAATTTAAAAAGTTAACATACTTTGACATAAAATGTGCTACATCATTAAGTTGGCATTATTGACCGCGATTGTAAGCGCCGTCCAAAGTCGAACCGTTAACCAATTGTTGGCAACAGTTTTCACCGGTGATAATGGTGTAGACGAGTGTATATCCGTATTAGTTAACGGTGTCTGTAAGCATGATGATAAGCCTGACCACACGGAGCCCTACTGTTGCTGTTCATTATGGAACTATTTAGACATGCCCATTATAAGGTAAAATTTTAAATTGACTAAGCTGAATGTTTATTTTATTTTATTGTATGATACAGAATTTTAATTATATAAGGTATATGTATTAAATAATGTTAGGTGGTTCTATAGGAATAATATTGACAAAATTATTATTGGTTATCAAATAGAAACCATTCTTATAGTATTGATAGTATAACTAAACAATTATAATCAAACATTATAATTACAATAAAATGTACTAGCTAATATTGTTAATTTTAATTGGTGATGTATTTACAGTAGTAAGTATTTAGTTTAACTCAACTATGGTAATTTTATTTTATATTGTATAGACTGCGTGTACCCAAGAAGACTCGGCCGCGTATGCGAAGCATGACTGGCAGCTAACTTATCACATATACAATGAAGATCAGTGCACCGCAGATCATTATAGCCGAAATGTTAGCAGGGAGATTTGCAAATAAAATTATATATGTATTAAATAATTTCATTATATAATTACTAGTGTGGTATAAATATTTACACTACTGTATTTACATTTTATTGTATATTTTACTTGCTGTAAAAGTTAATAAAATTTATATTATATATTGAGTTTATAAATAATTTATTAAAATTTGGCTCTAATGAAATGTTTCCTTTTTAATATTTTACACTATCAATTGTATATTTTAATTGCTTATTATTTGCATTTTGCTAAAATGTGCAAATTAAATATTTTAATAAAAAATTATTTAAAAATTGAAGTGCAGTGTTAATTTTAGTGCTAAATCTAAATTAAAAATAACAATTATTTATACCAGGAGAACGCTTCTTACAAAAAAATCTTTCAAAAAAAGTTTTAAACTAAACATTATGTTTGTTGTATTATAGTAGGTATAAATCTATTCATCACAAATGCCATTACTATTATTTACAAAATATTGTCAATAAAGAGCTCGTAATGAAAGATAAGGGTTGACTGACAGATAGATTGTTATTGAGAGAGTGATTGAGAATTTGAACAAATAGTTTTAGTAAAAATATTTAACTAATTTTTTAATTTAAATAGATAAATTTGTTAAATTAAAGCAACCACCACTTTATTTATTTGATAACGACATATTTGAATGTTTTAGAATGATAATAAATTGAGTATAAAGTCTGTTGCCCTTTAATGCCTGCGTTTGCCCAATTATGCACGCTCAGCGATCCGCTGATTTATACTAATTGTTTGCTTTTATTATTAAATGTTATAATAATTTTGTTAATAACTGTAAGTAAATTCATAACAAAATATTTAATTCAAATTGAATTTAATTTGTGAATAATTGGTTAATAAAATTCGTGCTAACATAATTTAATTATTAATTGTACATTTTTACTTAACCGGATATTTTGCAAATGTGACAAATATAAACAAGTCATGCTAATTTTTTTTGTCAAGTTTGGTTTTTGTCAATAATATATTATTGTTAAATTAATAAATTTTGTTAAATTAAATTATTATTTATTAAATCTATTTGCCCCATCTAACGCAATTTACAACTAAATTGTTAACCAATTCTTATCTATGTACTATTGTTGCATATTAAATAATTAATAATATTTGTTCAAAATTATATTTATTCATTCAACAAATATTCATTATTTTAAATCAGCATGACAAAGTGTCCTGTTCATTAGTGGTCCATAATTATGGGCAATACAATCGGGTTGAGTGTAAACTGTTTCAATATCACCATCTAGGGCAATCTTTTCCCAATAACTATCCATGGCTTTGACCTCTTCTTTGGTACACGAAGACTATATAAAACAAATTAGTTTAACATGTACAATTTTTAGTAATACAAAATCTATCTCTATAACTTATATTCTAGAATCTAGATTATTATAAATCAATTTTGCCTAAACAAGCTGTCATAAAACTATTATAACTATAACCAAGTATACACAACTTGTATTTATATAAATATATGGCCTTTATAAAAAAGTTATTTAACAATATAGTATAAAAATTATACATAATTAATTTTACAATGATACAAATTAATTTAGTTTATTTAGCTGGGTTATTTTACTTGCCCGGTAGTTTAATTTCATACAAGCAATCCAATCCCACAGGAAGCAACATGAGTATGCCAATGGTCGATCATATTTAAAGCCACCTAGGTAACAAACACTGTAGTAGGACATTTTTGTAATGCACTCGTTTACGCCGTTGGCATCATCAATGTTGGCCACGGATGGGCTGACATGTTTACATCGGGCAATGTTGCAAACAATCACGATCAATAGTGCCAAATTAATAATGTTGGACATAGTTTATATATTTATATACCATGTAAGATTTTAAATAAAAGTAATTTTCTAGTTATTTGGATTATAGAATTTTAATTCTTTTTATAGCAAATAAATTTAATATCATTAATAAGAATTGCATAATAATGAATATAAGTGTCTTGGTTAGATTAGTGAAGTATATACACAATGATTTTAATTAATCGCGATAAAGGTGGTCGCACGTACCTAAAAATTAAGCAATTAGTACATTTGTACAAGCACATTTTAATATTGTGGTACATATATTTTTATCAATATCAAATATGTGGAAATTGGGTCAGAGCGATTTCATATTAATTAGTTATTCAACTTAAATTGCATAAATTTCTTAATTATTAAGATTATTAGGCACCTACTAAAGGGTCCCGGGCCCCGGGCCCTGGGCCCCACGTCAAAGGGCCCACTTCGACGTGGGCCCCACGTCAGGGCCCACTTTTGACGTGACCACATATAGTGGGCCCCAGCAAAACATTCATCCAGGCGGTAGTTGGTGCAGCCTAACGCCGATCACATGTGGGCCCCGTCTAGTGGGGCCCATCACTTTCCGTCAATTTTTACATTTTCACGGAAAATTATTTTTGATGTTTTTTAAAAACGCAAATCTTTAGACATTTAAATCACTTTTTTTTATTAAAAACAATATTTTAAAGATAATTTTGAAAAATAAAATTTTTCGTGAAAATGTAAAAATTAACGGAAAAAGTGATGGGCCCCACTAGACGGGGCCCACATGTGATCGGCGTTAGGCTGCACCAACTACCGCCTGGATGAATGTTTTGCTGGGGCCCACTATATGTGGTCACGTCAAAAGTGGGCCCTTTGACGTGGGGCCCAGGGCCCGGGGCCCGGGACCCTTTAGTAGGTGCCAGATTATTATTTGTATAATATTAACACAACCCTATAAATTATATTACAAGTAATATCATTTTTGTATAAAACACAAATCCACTTTGTTAATAAATATTGTATGGTCATGATGTATTTTTCTGAATTTTGTTTTATTTGCCAAAACAGTGTATTCTAGATTCTAGATAATACTGTACAAATGTAATTTAATATTAACACTAAACATTTCTATATTATTATTTGTTGTATCTCTATAATATAAAAATATTCCCAGCGTTGGGCTTTTTGTAAGGCTCCGTTACTCTCACTCTCTCGCTTTGACGCTCTCCCCTAACCTCTCCCTATCACTCTCTTTCACTCTCCTAACATCTCTCTAATATATACACACATAACTCATAGATATAGATATAAAGGGATTAAAGTTTTGTTTTTATTTTGATGTACAAGTAAACCTCTTTATATGTAACGATTAAATAAAGTGCGTTTATATTATACGGGGAAAAGTATACTCGTTTATACAAAAAATTGTTCGTTTGATCTAGTAAGAAGTCGAATACATGAAAGCCAC